CTTTCTCCTCTCTGTCCTCTCTCTCTCTCTCTCTCTCTCTCTCTCTCTCTCTCTCTCTCTCTGTCTCTCTCTCTCTCTCTGTCTCTCTGTGTCTCTCACTCTCCCTCTTTCTTTCTCTTTCTCTTTCTCTCTCAAAAAGTGTTACTTAAATAGAAATAAAAATTTACAATGGATAGTACACAATACTACATAATATAAACTATAATCAAAACTGTGGGTGGTTGGCGAGTGCTCTGGTGTGGTTTGCTTCTTCATTCCTATCAAACATCTATCATCCTTATCTCCCCTCCTTCTTTTTTATTTTTGTTACTCTCTTGTAAAAACCTCTAATCCTCTGGCGCTCACATGACCTTATGCAGTTGCGAGCGCCGTAAAAACCTCTACTAAAACTTTTTTTAAAACCCCAAAAAAACTTCGGCTAATTGTCATAATATTTGCGCTACTCTCTCTCTCCCCCTGACAGGTTCAAGACCACCAGCGCGGGAGACTACAAGATCTGCTTTGACAACACCTTCAGCCGCATCTCCAACAAAATTGTTTACTTCGAGGTGTTCATCGAGGATGGCAGCGACGACGACGAATTTGACGGGGACGACAGTAAGCTGACCTTTGAGGGGGAGGACATCCAAGGACAGCTGGACATGACCATGGAGGATTTTATGGTGATTGGAAGGGAGGGGGGGTATTGAGGTGGCAATGAGGTTGCCTTGTCGTTATAATATAATGATAATTTTACTGTAAATATTTGAGTTGTTGTTGCTGTCACTACATACACCACAGATGCTGGTTATTTAACCCTTCCAGCCCCATGCGTGTATATTTTCAGCAGCGTTTGTATCTCCCACCGTCCCAAAGGCGTATATTCTCAGTTTCCGGGGGGTACCAAATTTACGCATTTTTCGAAATTGGCGAACCTAATTAAACTTTATTTTTCATCATATTGTTTTCATTTACCTTTAAACATCGTCGTCTGTTGTTATCTAAACCTTACTACAAAGATACTCTGTCACTTTTTAGAATGCATGCCTCTTTTTCTGAAATACTGCTGTATTGGCTGGGACTGGGGTTAGGGAGTGCACCAAAATGGCGGGGCTGGAAGGGTTAATGTCTAGAGGTAACCAAACACCACACACCTTCCTCTGATGTTTGAAATACTGGCTTTGTTAGGGAATAAAAGACGTATAGGAACAAGGTGTGAGGCAGAAGATGAGCGTTGCTTGAAATATTAGATTTGTTAGTGAACAAGATATGAGACAAAATGAGTGTTGCTTGAAATATTAGATTTGTTAGGGACTAATAGACGTGTAGGAACAAGGCGTGAGACAGAAAATGAGAGATACGCAGTGAGGAACGTCGGTGACCGGCCATGCGTGGCAAATGGTTGGTATGAGGGGGCTGTGCGGTAATTATGACGGGATCTCTCGTGGCCTAGAGTTTAAGGTGTTCGCCTCTCATTCAAAGGTCTCGGGTTCAAATCCGGATAGCAACGGAAAAATTTTCTTCTCTAAAATTATCTCCTTTCACCTGCTTTCCTGCTCTCTAGCAATGTTTCTGTTGTCTGCTTTCGTCTCCTCTTTCTGCCCCCCCACCCACCTGTTCACCTCTTTTGCCCCCTCCTCTGGGCTCCTGATTCTTTCAGCAGCCTTTCTACTGCTACTCCTTGGCTCCTTCTTACTGATGTTTTCTGCCACACCCCTGATCTTATGGTAGGTAAGATCTACACCTAGCCTTCTCGGACAAGGGCGAAAAATCTTGGAGGTCCCGTGTGCAAGTTGCGCACATTAAAGATCCCTTGGTGGTCTAAAATCGATAAGAGTACGCTTCAGCCGCCACCCAGGCAAAATTCAAAATTTCCTACCAGCTGAAAATGTTTAATGGGTTCCGCACGCTCATATGACCGTATGAAGTTGCGAGCGCCGTAAATCTCTAACAAAAACAACCGCCTTTGATGTTTGAAATACTGGATTTGTTAGGGAGTAAAAGACGTATAGGAACAAGGTGTGAGACAGAAAATGAGAGTTGCGCAATGAGGAAAGCCGGTGACCGGCCATGCGTGGCAAACGGACGGTGGTATGAGAGGGCTGTGCGGTAATTATGACGGTCGTTGTCTGTGATCGCTCGGTGTAGGAAAACTTCACGCCTCGGGGCGAGCTCAGCTGACTGAATGATGCAACCTGCTGCAGCCAGGAGATCAGATGTGAGATGGTTTTTGCATTGACAGTCACTGATGTACTGCACGGTGGACTGTAGACTGTGGGGTATAAGATAAGATAAGATACATCTTTATTGTCCAGATCCTGGCACATTGGTTTGGTGTTTCACCACGTGTACACACATACACACACACACACACACTCTCACACACACACACACACACACACACACGTAGGCTTACATTCACATGCATAATATAAATGAGCAGCAATATAAACAATAATAATCTTAAGATATACACACTCAATGTTAAATGATGCATGCTCTAAGGTTGTATGGGTGTCTAGTGAGGGTGAGGGACAGAGTAAACAGTGGTTTGGCATTTGCTTAATCGTTTGCTAAAAGCACGCGCATAAGAGCACGCTTTTCTCGTCGTCTGAGGTGTGTGCACTATTAGCCAGAGACCGCTGTATCTATTATCTATTTGTGGTGGCCGATTTTTGCTATTCAAAAGGCTTTTCAATGGCTGCATCGATCGACATACGGTTTTCGCCAAAAAAAATTTAAAAATATTCTCCAAATCATGACGCCCTTGGTTTTTTCAGTTTTAAGACAGTTTTGCTGCAAAACCCTAAATTTCTTTATTTCGTCAATCGCTTTTTGTAGGCCGACGCTTCTGTCTCTGTAATTTGAGAAAATCTGGAAGAGATATTTCGCGAGGCGCATTTTATTTTGAGAGTATAGATCTAGACCTTCTCATTTTTTGCATCTCTCAAGATTTATTTCCCCATTCCAAAAAAGTGTAAATATAGTAGGCCAATGACTTTTAGTTGATATTAAAGCACCGATCATTCCTTTCAGCGAAAGGGGGCCCAGCTAGTATAATGTATATATGAATATGTTTGCCTGTGGCACTGACTAGGTAACTTTAGCCTAGGAAGGTTATGAAGACGGATTGAAGAACTGACTTTGTCTTACTTACTGAAAACATTTTCAATAAGGCATTACCCTTGAAATGTCATGGGATGGAGGGGGGAGGGGGAGGGGGGGCACATGAATTCGAAACATTAATGTCGTTGTGTACAGACAGTCAGGGCAAAAGTGGTCCATCTGAAAGCACTTTAGTAGTTCAATCAAGGCTTGTGAAAGTGGATGCGCTTCAGAATGATACGTACACTGACTTTGTCCAGAAGTTGAAGCTTTTTAACCCAAATTTTGGTATCTTCGAAGTTGCCTGACCATAAATTTTAGCAGGATGTGTTAGGGTCAGGGGAAAAAAAAAAAAAAAAATCTGTGATGCCTTGTGGAAGTTAAGTTCAAGAAAAACAATGCGTGAATTTTTTTTTTCTTCATTTTCTTTTGTTTTTGTTTTTTTTCTTCAAAATTTGTCTTCTGCATTTCTGTGTGTGTGTGTGT